TAGGAATCACATGAGATAAAAGGAGCACACTTGTGTAAAGTCTAAGAGTTCCAGTCTCTGTGTATAGACACTATAGATACTCATATATTTGTATTGTAAATATGTGTATTTGTCTGTATTCTGAGTATATTTTTCAATCTGTAAAACACATCTGCGTAAATAGTTTGAAGACTTCACTATCTTTTTTTTCGTGACTGCTGCCTTTAGGGGTCGCCAGATCCTATATGCAAAAGTGCTTTCGGTTCTGGAAAAACGCATCTTCATTTTGTGTTGTCAGCAGCTGAGGTGGCAAAAGCACAGACTTTCTTTACTTACCTAGATGTACAGATAGCTGCAGTACTTCAACAATAAAAAGCTGAAGTACTGCAGCAACGTTTTTATTTAAGTAAAAGGGAAAAAGTACAGGCTTTCAAATGTACTTAGATTAAGAAAGTAAAAGGTAGCTCCTTAATGGATAATTCTACTAACAGCTTTTGTGCAAAGGTAGCTGAACCTTGGGATATGTTAATATGATAATAAAATAATATTAGTACATGATAATACAAAAATTGTTCAAATTTAAGGTCTAATTCTAATGAATTTACTTAGCTTGAAGTGTGTTGTCTAGGACACATGCAGTGAAAAATATTTTATATATATATATATATATATATATTTATCTTCCCCTGATTAGTAGAGGGTGACTTTACCTCCACACATAAACAGTAAAATAAGATCAGTCAGGCGTTGCAGTGGAATTCAGCAGGTTGGGAAACCCGAAGGTCAGTGTACTGGTTCAGCATGGAGAAAAGAATCACAACTTACAATAATTTCTAATGTGAGCTTCAGTGGGTTTTCTTAGTGTACACGTTATGATCAACTGACCTGCTGCTCTTTGTGGATTTACACAGCTAAACTTAACAAGATGTCTGCAGTTTCACTAGCTTTGATGGTTCATGTCCATCCTCTGCACTGAAAGTCTTTATACTATACAGTATGCGGTTGGTATAAAGCTGGAATTCAGTGATTGAGTCTGAATTCATCATTGTAAATGCAAATTCATTTCTGCATTTAATATAACCTAAACCTTACCATGAGCACCAAAGCCACTGTGCACAAGTCCAACACAGAACTTTACTGTGAATTCACCACAGTACTGCAAACTAACCTGTTTATCCTGAACAAAACTACCCAGTATTTTCAGGCAACATCTGAATAACACAAAGTTTGTATAGCTTTGCAGAATACTTCACAACATGAAAATATATAATTCCTCGACACATATCATATACACATGCAATATGTGATCAAAATTAAGACATTACAAGTAGGCTTTAAATTTGCAGTTCATCAAACACCCCTGAGCAGCCCTTACCTTTAAATCTAACCTCTCGTCTTCCTGTTTTTCTTATCTTTCTCCATCTCTGAGTGAAGTTAGCTCTCTCTCTTTTCTCTCGATGTGAAATACAACAGCTGGATCTTTAGCTGCAACACACTGTGAGACAAACTGCACACAAACAGTTTGTGTGTTTGCTGATGTTTGTTGAGCTGACATTGAATTTGAAATGACCTGACACTTAAAAATCGTCATTCTTTTCATGCTTCCTCCTATTCTTTTGCACTAGCTAGAGTTTTGAAGTACTCCTTCCGGTCACTTTAACTCCTGTGTATAAACGCTATAGATGATACTGCTGAACCTAAACTAATGAGTCTGTTTTGAAAATGCAAAGAGTAGAAAGTACAGATATTTGTTTAAAAATGTAGGGAGTAAAAGTAAAAAGTTGTCAGAAAAAGAAATACTCAAGTAAAATACCTGAAAATTCTACTAAAGTACAGTAATATTGTAGAGTATTTGTACTTTGTTACTTCCCACTTCTGTCAAACAGGCAAACTTAAGCTGCTGCAGGAACTGTATGAGAATGGGAAATGGTGCGTGATGGTCCCTGGGTTGTTGACCTGCTGTTTTGAGTTTTGTCATTTCCTTTTTCTTTTTGAATTTGGTGAAGTGGTTATAGTCCTCGTTCTTATTAATTGTGCTTTGTGCTTTTGTTCCACTTATTGAGCTTATTATATTTCTTCTTTCAGTTTAAACCGTCTCGCCAAGTGTTCCCCGTCTATGCTTTAGTATCTGTCAGTGATGTCCCCTTGTTTAGTTCTTCATGAGTTATTTTGTTAGTCATCTGTGCTTGTGCTTTGTTTATACTTACTTCCTATGTCTCATTATTAGATTTAGTTCAGCTCTGTGTTTTTTACAGGTGTTTCCACTTTGGCCACATCCCAATTTATATTTACTCCCTCAGTTGTTCTTAGCTCATTGTCATGTCATCCTGTTCCCCTCTGCCTATTTCCAATCTCACCCGGCATTTGTCTCCACCCATTCCTGCCTACCTGCACTCTCTTCTTCACCGCTCTTGTGAAAAATCTTTTGCTTTGGATGTTTGACCTCAGGTATTTAAAATTAGCTACCTTCACTATCTTAAATCCTTGAAGCTTCAAAGTTAAGAGATACGTATCTGTTTCCAAAATATGAATTATGATTTCATACAACAACTGATTTCTGAAAATCTGTTTGAGACACAGACATGTGTAACATGGTTTGAACATTAGCAGAAATCTAAATTGTTAAAGAGTTTTTGAACAAAATGAACTATTAGCCAGGGTCATCTGCCTAATCATAATAAATTACCTAGCCTGAAGTGCAAGCGTCATGGGTCCATTTGATCTTGCATCTGCAGATGACTCAACGGATCCCCTTTTATTCTTCATGAGGTTAGAAGAGTATCAGCATGCCAAATAACCCATTAACCAAATGGTTAATGGGTTATTTGGCATGAAAAACTCACTTCTTGTGAGTTTTCATGCCTCTAACTGTATTTTTATTCATATATGTAATGGCTGAATTACAAACATTCTGAAAAGAAGAATGGACCAGAATTCCTCCACAGTGATCTGAAAGACCCACTGAAAGTTAAAGAAAGAAAGAAAAAGAAAATATTTAAAGTGGGATAATGTAACAAGGTGATATAGAAACTACAATCTGTGGAAAGAAGGATGGGGGCTCATTCAAATTCATTCGTGAAAGAGAATAAGTACCATATTGTGTTATAATATATACTATATTATCGTACATCTGTTGATATGTCCAATAATGTACATCTGTTTGACTGACACTATTTCAGTCAGACCTTTAATGCCCACTTTTGCCATATTTCAGAAACAAACCATAGAAGAGCAATGTCATGCTAAACGCATCAATTTTGACAATAAAGAGAGGACAATTAATTATTAATAAAACTGAGTCAGAAGCTGTCATTCTATCATTTTTTTTGTCTTTCTCTTGTTTTGTATATATTCCTCTTGACTGTATATATATTTTTCTGTTTCCTATTTATTCTTTATGTCTTTAGTATTCATATTTTTTACTCAAGCACAGTTGGCCTGGAGCACCCATAATTTCGTTGTACATGTACAATAACCATAAAGGGCTTTTCTGTTCTATTCCAAAATTCATCTGTATGACCCCATGTTCGTTTCTACACATGTGGTACAATGGATATTAATATCATTCTTAACTAGTATTCAGACGTGTCAGATGTATTAGGTAACTTGGCGATTCTAGATGGGCTGCAGGTGTGAAAGTCAATGGCTCTCTGTCGCTCTATGTCAGCCAGACCAAGATACTCAATATGGTGAAAACATTTTTCGGTCGAATTCCTACTAATATTTCATCCATACTAATATTTTTTTTTGATTGCATGCACTTTTATTCCACCTATTTTCAGGCTGCACCTTCACCAAGGATCAATTAAATAAGAGTAGCTGCTATCACGCTGAATCTTACTGATGCTGTTATAAAGGATTTACCTCTTTCTTCGACTAAATTAATATATAATCAAAAAATAACAATACAATGCATGGAAATACATTTTTCATGACTTATTTAAATACATTGTTACTCTTTAAACCATTAAATATAATTAACTATGAAGTAATACATCAAATAGGTCTACGATCAAATATTACGATTAAACACTGGTGAAAATCAAGAAAAGACAACCTTCATTTCAAAAGTATTATTCAGTTTTATTTCAGGATATCAATAATAATTCAATTTCAGCCAAAATAATAAATAATCTGGTAATAACATAAAACATTAATTTTCTCTTTGTACCTTAAATTTAAGGCTTTCGTCCGATTTCTTGTGCCCTCCGATGAGTTGCAGGCTGTGCGGCAGCCAGCCAATAATATCATCGGAAAATAAACCCATAACGAACCATTGGCTCGGTGAGTTTAACCACGTGCCAACTGACGTCACCTGATTTCTGCAAATAATTTTCCAGACCACGCCCACACAAACGAAGTCCTTTAGAGTGCTTATTAATATTCATTATGTTAGACACTTTTGAACGCAAATAAATGCGGCATCCACGGGGATGAACTAATTGAAAGTAAAAATAAAAGTACAAGAATATATAATGGCTAAGCAGACCATCTGAAAGCAGGACAAATATAGTTTTATTATCTCTCTTGAAGACAGAGAAAACAACATTCATATGTAAAAATAATAATTAGTTTCTCTTTGGCCATATTTCTCTCCACTAACAAAACATGTAATGTCTTTAATTATCATCACAACAGTAGAATAGACAATATTCTTTGTAACTCTGGCCACAGGATCCTGTGCACTTTTTTTTAAAATTTATTTTTATCTTTTTTAAGCTCCCATTGGTTCTAAAATTCATTCACATGTGCAGACTTTCCTTAAATTAGATTTCCTGCATCTGTACCACAGTGCCTTCTTAGTGTCATAAAACATAACTGCATTTGCTTTTGGGCTTCAAAGAAGCATTATGGAAATCATGAGTGTAACGAGTCAATTGAAACTCAATACAACAAACTTTTAGTATTACCTTCTGTATTCTTGTAGTGTTGTAATAGAAATTAATTTGGCTTTGTAATATTGTTGACACAGTCAAACACACACACACACACACACACACACACACACACACACACACACACACACACACACACACACACACACACACACAATGTGAAAGGGGGGGGGGGAGCATAACTCTTCAAAGAAACCCAGAAGCCACGATCAGTTCGGTGGGACTGAGAACAATGTTGTTCCACCAATCTCTTGCACTTCTTTTGATAATTCAGGTACTGGATAGCTGCCTGCATATTACTTATGATAATAAAATAAGAAATGTCATTTGGCTTGCTAAATGGCACCTCCACATATGGGTTATGTTTACTCCCAAATGAATTAAATACTTGTCACACACAATAGAAAAAAAATGTCACAAAAAACACACCTAAGGCAGCCTATTGGCCATCACTTCAGTAACATCCATCCCTTCAGTTTGGCCCTGTAAAATAGCTTTGGGACTGGAAACATTCTTTTTGGAAAATCAGATTTGTTTTCAGTCATTTCAGTATAGACCATTTGATCTGCTCCTTGGCTGACTGCAAAACCTGCAAAAGTACGAAAAATGAAAGAAAATTATATATTAACAAAACATGAATGACAACTGCTTTATAAACAAACAGAAAATGCAACCTTTGTGTAGTATGCACATATATCATTTAATGTGTTTATTCTAACTTCTGATATGTATTTGGTTTAGGCATCAGAAATAGTTCGTTTTAGGAAAAGATTGGGTTTAGACTATAGTAACTTAGTTATAACACTGCTCGTTCTGTTGCTCTCATATATGTGTTACAGAAGTTTTTGAAACCTTAACACAGTCCAGTATCCTTTACATTACAATATAATGTCAAAAAGTATCTTACCGTAGAATACAAGTCTGTTTAGTAAAGGTAGAGTGGTTCTAATGCTTTACATAACTGAGAACTCCTGCACAGTAAAGCATGGTGCTACAGTACGACTGTTTAAACACTAGAGGGCAGGCTGAGCTTATGCTCACAACCATGTGAAGTCATGCCACCATGTTAAAGCGCAACAAAATCGTAATACAAAACACATCTTTGTTCTACTGCCACTAAATAAATACAGTGGGTTAATGTTTTCAAAATCTACATGTTTCAACAGCTTGTTCTTGTATGTTCTTTACTGGTTTATCTTTTAACTGTTTTTCAGTCCTTAGAAGAGGTTAAATTACAGCAGTGAGAAATCGGCCAGCAGGTGGCGCACTAAGCTCAAATTTAAAGGCCCTTGATTCAGTATGGCATTTAAAGGCAGCCTAATGTGCAGCGTGTCTATTGTGTTGATCACGTAAAAACGTTAGATGCACGTTAGAGTCAAGATATACCGCAAGTTGTGTTTAGTCAATAACATTGCATTGGTCAAGATCTACAAGCTGTCAAATTTCTATCATCATGTACAGGCAGCATAATTAGAAACTAAATGAGATGAGAATGTCAACCAAGGTATGAACGTTCATAGCTTATAATCTTTTCAAAAACTCTTTTAATTTGAGTAAATGGGGAAAACACACGAGTGGACATGATCTCTGAGTTTAGTATTCAGCTCTCCTCCATCTGTCCATCAATCAAGATAAATAATAAATGTGCATGCCAAATATTCTCGGCCAAAAAAACTAACCGCAAGTTGCTCAATCGGCGCATGAATGAATGTCAGATATAAAGCACTTTAGCAGAAAAAGCATTAAAATGCTTGTATGAATGGGTGAATGAGGCAAGTTGTAGAAAAGCACTATATAAGAACCAGTCCATTTACCATGTGACTAAAACTTTGGAAATATGTGAGGTCAGGCATTGTCTGTTATAGCTCAAAACATAATTGTAATTGCTCAGTAAGCAATTGATACGTCAACTAGAGAATCTCCTCTTCTGCCACTAATGGTTATCCTCCTTTTCTTCATTGTGGTGTGTCAGGTATAGAGCATTAGCTTTTTTGAGGGTGACATTATTAAATGCCTTTATGTCCTTCCAGTGCCTCTAAAACAGCTCCGACCCACTGAAGGATTGACTTTACAATTAAAACTGCCTTGAAAAGACTGTTGTTGCAAATTGGTGCTATATAAATAAAACTGAACTGAATTGAACTGCATTTGTGTATGCATGTGATGCCTTCATGTTTGTGTGTATAGCTTTGGCAATGATATTCACAGAGTCTGTTTGCTTGTGTATTACCTGAGCCACGCTTTGTTCAGTTAATGGGTTCTCATCCGCCTGTAATCAAAATGACATGAAAAAAAGTCAAATACTTAACACACACACACACACACACACACACACACACACACACACACACACACACACACACACACAGTGCATTAGATCTGTGGAACAAAGAATAGCACACTATAACCCAGTGACATTCAAACAGTGCTAGTTAACAGTTCAACCAGTCACAATTCATAGTGGAGCTTGTAGCCATGCTTGTGGTGTAGCTTCAGGGCAAGCACCGTCTGGTATGCAATCATTCACTTTAATTATCTGATTGACACAGTTCCCAGAGAATAACTCTTTTCACTTGGATGACGTCTGTAGTGTTACTCTAGCGCCACCAGCAGGTCATAGTTATCAAGTATAGAAAAATAACATGTTAGTCCACATGCTCTCCCACCATGCATTTACCTTTTCTGTTTTGCCCATTCCTCCTTCCTCCCTTCACTGAGTCTTAATCCTTCTCATCCATTCATTCTTACTCTCTCACTCACTCACTCTTTCTCTCTCTCCACGTCACTATCTTTCACATTGGCCTTCTTCCTCTCTCACCCTCGGTCTGTCTGTCTGTCTACAGCAGCTGGCTCCTGTCTGTTTGTGCCTCTAGGTTACCGGTGATGTAATCAAAGAGGACGAAGCCATAGGCTGGCTCTGACATTAGCTGACACCAATCAGAAGAAGAGAGAGAGGGAGAAGGACAGGAAGAAAAGTAAAACAGGGAAGAGAAGGCAAGAAGCAAGTCAAAAAAGCTAAAGGGAGCTACAGCAAATCTTGATGTAGCCGTTCTAATCAGACCAAACACCTGCATTGATTTGTATTTCTACAATCTAACACACTTGTTTTCTGTTTGAATTTCCAATGGTTATACTGATACAATAGGTTTTGGGGAATAACTGACAGAAATCTTACCCTGTAGTTGACTTTCTGTAGGACCTGCTGTGGATCACTCTCCAGAATCACCCTGGCAACAGGAAAAACAACCAATAAGGGTAGAGTTCTGTATAAGCAGGACTGGGATTGCTTATGGGATCATGGCATTTTACATACTAAACATTTTTTTATTTTAATAATAGAAATACCTATCATCATTTTGCCTATAAATATCAGGCAAAATGATCAAAAGGGACTCATATTGACTATTCTAGTTGGATAAACTTTTCTTTCTCTCACCCCCCATCAATGATTTCATCCACAACAAGAAACACTCCTTCCATGTTTTCCAATAAACACCTCCGCTCCACATTTTTCCTGCAGGATAAATAAAAAAATTACACGCGTCATTAGACACGTTACTTAGGATCTCATATGATCATCATCATTTTAAGTTAAAGTTTTTATTCCTCTAACTTAAGTAACTTAAAGTATTCACATTTCTGGCTTTTTAAAAACCCATCATTGCTTTATTTTTATTTTTTGCCCTCACAATAGCTCAATCTCTCCTTAGTCTCAGTTACTCACACACTGCATTACTATTGCATTGGTTCCCATAGTAACCATACCCATCATTGTTTGACTAATGTTGCAATAAACAGTGAGGGACTCTGATATGAGCTTTAACAGGTTTAAATGAAAAAGGAGTACTATTTGTCATTTAGTTTAATTTATTTATTAAATATAATTATTTATATTTCACATTATTTATTATAACACTTTGATGCTACTGAGGCTACATGGAGGACAAAAGCTCTAATTCATTTGCATGAAGAAAAGTCTGAAAAAGAAGATTGTGAATTTCTCTATTTGGGCTCTGATTACCTCTGTATTGTTCTAAACATCATTACAAAATATCAATGAAACCACTCACTTATGCAGTTTTTGTTTTTTCTTGAAAAAAAAAACTTTTTTTTGAAGACGGTACCTGAGGATGTGACTGGTGGAGTCAAACAGGCAGTTAAGTACTGACATCAGCATGAGCTACCAAGAAAAAGAAAAGTCAGTATATGAGATACAAAGATATAAATCAATGCAAATTGATGTTAAAGCAGAATCAATTAGATTTCATGGCCTAAATAAGCTAAATACTGCACATTCAACATATACCAGCTTAGCAAAGTATATAGGTCAGAGGTGTCGAACTCCAGGCCTCGAGGGCCGGTGTCCTGCAGGTTTTAGATCTCAATCTGGGTCAACACACCTGAATCAAATGATTAGTTCATTATCAGGCTTCTGGAGAACTTCAAGACATGTTGAGGAGGTCATTTAGCCATTTAACCTGCAGGATACCGGCCCTCGAGCCCTGGATTTCGACACCTGTGATATCGGTGAATATGCTGCTCATGAGAAGTGTTCTTTTATTAATCATTATAGGTTTAAAACTTTCCAACCAAGCTGTAACCCAAAATAATCTCCACACAACTGCAACATATAGAACAATCCCTGAAAATAGCTTAAAAAAATCCATAAATCCCACAGGCTGTACAAATGAAAGAGACTGTAGCTAACTGAACCCTTATGGTAAATGTTACTGCCCTGAAGCACCTCAATTTGAAGAGCAATTACTAGACTAATTAAGTAGATTTCATGGAGTATCTTATTTTTCCTTGAAAATAATCTTTAGCATTTTACAATAGAAATCATTATTATGTGAAGGTATCGCCAAGTTTTCAATTGTAGTGTACAAACACACAACTTTTTCCAGGTTTTTTTCCGTCTTTACTTTTTTTTTTTTTTGCATTGCACCAAAGAGTATTATAATACAAAAAAATATATTGTATTTTGTCTACAATATATTGTAGACAAAATACAATATATTTTATAGTCTTATTTTATATTATATAATAATATTAATATAATATAATATTAATATGTATATTAATATAATATGATATATAATATAATATATAATATAATATTAATATATATGTAATATTATAATATGTATAATATAATATTTTATACTCTTCTAGAAATTTGGACAATTGACTTCATTTGATTAACTTTAAGGAGTATTTTACTTCTAACACTGAATTATTAAAGTTCAAATAACCCCCAACAACGTTCTAACAGAGCAAAGAAAACCCCAGCACTGACTTTGTTTCTTATATTCCTAAAATGTTCATTCTTACTTTGGCTCAGTGTCCAGTGGACATGCTGACCTATTCAAGGTTTTTTGTTTTTTGCTTTCTTTGCCTGTTTGTCTTAATGTCAGTGAAACATTAATCTGACTCTGAGAATGCTGCATAAGAAATGCAACCTTTCTGTGACACCAGAGCAGGCAACTGAATTTAGAAACAACAAGTAATTACCTTTAAACTGTCTTGTGTGCCTACAGCTGAGAATTCCATAAAAAATATTGATATGAGCCTAACTCTTGTTAAGAGGTTACTACTGTAACTTATGTGATTTGTGTGAAAAATAATATTGGATGAATTTGTTGTTTAAGAGCTGAGAAGAAACAAGAAACCGTCTGGTGACATGGAACACATGCCATTCTGCCTTCAGAATACAAAGCAGAATAAAATTTAAAAAATAAAATAAAATAAAATAAAAGCACGCTTATGTGAGTAAACATTTGAACAAAAATGACTGAGCTCCTTTTAAAACATATGCAGATAAACTTGACGTAACATATTCACAATGAATTTTAATTTTATTACTGCAGATGTACTTTATTGGCAGACAAAATTTAATTCACCTCATTTTCCTGAGCACTTCCCACAACGTAGAAGAAAAGATCTATACTGCTCTTGTACACGATGGTCATGCCTTCCAGAAAAGCTATTTCATCTAGATAGAGAATGAGACGTGACAGGGTTAGCATAAGCATGACTTTATTAATTTGCTTCTATATAGAAGTGTAAAATAAAGTTTATTCAGTGACACAACTGCCAAATATATAGTGACAGGCAAGCAAAGGGGTGAGAGGGAAAGAAGGCAGAGACGAGTGACAGAAAAGCAATTAGACAGAAACTTGATATAAAGAGAGGAAGGAGATGAGTCGGAGAAACAAATGATACAAATGAATGTTGGGAAGGAGTGGAACTGATAGATAAAACATAAAAGGGGAGAAGAAAGACAAAGCAGAAGTGGAGAAAATAAGGAATGAAGATTAGGACAAAAGGAGAGATAATGGCAACGTGTTAAAGAGGCCAGGGGTAGAGACTCAGGTATCAGTTGGGTGAAACTTGGAATCCTACAAAAAAGCTTATGGGTAGGTCAGATTTTTCATCCAAATGAATGAAAACCCAAAAGTTTTACAAGGGTAATACCAACTACAGCGTTCTGCCACAAATAATGGTCTAGCATGGTTTGGCGGGTGGAAACCAGGTCAATGTAAAAAGTGATTTAGGTTACAAGTGACAAGAGAGTGTGTAACAGTCTGGACACTGGAGACGTCTGTGAACATTCAGCACAATACAAAGGGAGGGAGCGACGGGTGGGGGTGGGGGTGGGGGCGCATGCATCACACACCAGAACAGATCTACATAAAACAGAAGAGAGTGGAACTTACTGTCTGCTTTGTGTGTCTTGTTAAAAACATTCCTTTCAAAGGTTTTCTGCTCCTTCATGGAGGGGTAAAGCTCTGGGTCATAGTACTAAAACAGGAACTTTTATGAGTGACTCAGTTTACTTACATAGTGCGTTGCTAATAAATTCTAAACTTGATAGTTAAACTTTACCAGTTAGTATTTACTGTTACAAACAATGAAATCAACTCAATCAAATGCACCCCTAACCCACACAAACATATCAGCGGCATCCTTTGCACTCACTGTTAGTTACTTTAATCAAGTTGAAGCTGAGAAATCTTTTCTCAGGTTTACCTACTTCGGCCGTAGCCACTTATTATTTCTGACTGTAGGTAGACGACTCAGCTGGTGATAATCAGGGCAGTCGTTATTTGTGAATCAGTCACTGAAAACTCAGATTTTGTTTTGTTTGGAAATTTCCAAGCTAGTTGGTAAGCTAACTGACTGGTTTCATATTTACTCTACAGACATCGCTTGTCCTATTTTCTGTCTTCACTTTTCATTCACCCCCCCCCCCCCCCCACTCAGTCACAGCAGGTGACTGTCTCTCACTGATCCTGGTCCTGATTGAGGTGCTTTGAAGAAAGGACGTTCTTCTACCCTACTCTCACTAAGTGTTGCTCTTAATCATCAGAGGTCTCTTTCTAATATTGTACAGCAATAATTATTTGGAACAGTTCTGAAATAAACATTGCAGATGTATAAGACAACAATAAGGCTGATCAAGGCACATCTTAACAAATATATTAATGTGTTCCTCAAAATACTGTTTACATTTTCTACAAGAAAAAAGTACAAAAAATTCAGATACAGGGCTTTGAAGTAAATTTAAATTACCCTCAGTAGTAAATGGTTATTGTTTATTGTGCAATGTAAATTTCATGTTTAAGTCATATAAAACTTATGGCCCATATTGTGACTTATTCATGAAAGTACTCCCTTTCATATTTTTGTCATACAAAACAAAGTTTATATTAAAGCGCTTCCATTTTTTCCCTTGTGTAAAGACCACATTGAACTCACCTTTGACAAAAGTCTGTTTCCATCATTGTCGAGAATAAAAACTGCTTTAACTGTGTAGAGGGACGGTTCCTGCAGCGATAAACAGAAAAAACATTTAAAATATTTTAGCTTCGCTGAGTCATCTTGGGGAAACATCTTGAACATAATAGCATAGCTTCAGTCACATCTGTTCCTCTCATACCTGGATAACACTTAAAAGAGCATTGCAGCAGCAGCCTCTTTTAAATACTCTCTCATCTACTTACACACACTGAAGCTGCCCAGTCCAACCAGTTTCTACAATTTATGCTGCAGTTTATTCAGTGTTTTAATCTTTGTTGTTTATCCTGGTTTGTTTTACAGTTTTCCAGTTCTGGGAATTATCACATATTTCTACTTAATACATTTTCCATTCTCCTGCATCCACATCTAGACAGCTATCTGTCCATTCCTGCGATGATTTTTCAGACCCGGGACAAAGTTCTGTTATGCACTGACTAGCACAGATTCACAGTCAGAGTGTATCACAGAACTTAGACCAGACACTTAGCTCATCCAAAGTCCAGTATTCCAGGCTCACATAACCAGAGTCCTAAAGCTGTAGATGGCTCAGTTTATCCTTCATTTGATCAAACGTGTTTCTTGTTATGTTGATGCTGACTGAACTTTAAGTGATGAGTAAACATACACGGACATACTCCAACATACTGTAGTTATAGCATATAGCATTTGTAGGTAAACACTACATAACCAATGACAAGTACTGCAAGTCTTTTACTTTAATTTGTCATGTAACGAGGTCATTCTTAATACTATTTTTTACTCCTTTCTTTTCATTTCTCCATACACCCTGGAAGCAGGTGAAGATGCAGCAGAAATACCTACTCTTAACAACATTCTGATTAGCAAAGTGCACGTGAGGTGTATGCTGACAACTGACTGAAGGAAAGCTAGCAGCTAGCTCAAGTCACAAGGCAAGGCCATAAAAATAAAGACTATTATTTGCTACCAAGTGCAGAAGGAGTTCTCAATATTTTTCCAGGAAACCAGAAACTCTAAAGTATAAAAAGAATATCTTTGATCATGGAGTGTAGGTTATGTCAACCTATAGCCCAATACATATTATATTAAAAAAATGTTACATCAAATAGTTTTCATTGGGTCTTCAGAACATGTTTTAGCCGGTAAAGATGCCACTGAATTATGAATTAGTTACTAGGAGACAAATGTACCACTGTCCAATTAAACAAATATGAGTTTCAGGCATGAGAACAGATCCTATATGCTTATGTCTCTGTTCTTAGCTAGTTTGCTAATGGCTACAAGCACGAGTACATTCAGCAGTCACCTAGTTAGTAAGTTTTATTAAGTGCTGAAGGGTCCAGGTGCAATATGTCAGCCATTATTAAGTATTGTGCAGTCTATGTTTAGATAAACAGCAAACTTAAACTCATTAACAGATATCAAGCTGAAGAATCATATTTTGGAAAGAGATTTGAATACTGAAACTTCTGGTGCAATCTGCCTCTGACCCTGTCTTTCATATCCACATTGCATAACATTATGATCACTGACTGGTGATATGAATAACACTGATTAACTCTTCATCATGGCCCCTGTTCCACCAGAGAGTCTGGCAAGGGCCAAATTGTGGTGGCTAGATGACTGTCAGAGCATCTCCAATACTGCAGCTCTTTCTTGGATGTTCCCAGTGTATAGTTTTCAATATGTATCAAAAGTAGGGATGGGTATCGAAAACCGGTTCTTGTTGAGAACCGGTTCCCACTGTTTCAATTCCTTGGAATTGTTTGCCATTTTTGCAAACGATTCCCTTATCAATTCCAGTCGCCCCGAATGACGTCACCACGTTGCGGAGCGTCATTTACCTGGCAGGAAACGGCGCCTAAGCGGCTTAAACGCTCAAAAGTTTGGTTATACTTTATGAGAACAGATGACAACAGGGCAACTTGCAATACTTGCAAGGTAGATATTTCATTTAAGGGAGGAAACACTACGAATATGCAAAAGCATTTGCTCACAAAACACGCGATGACCTTAAATGAATGTCGTGATTTTAATTCCGCTCCGGACTCGTGAATCTCAACCCAGCAGCAGCGGTAACGTTTGCACGTCCTCTCCCGTTAATGCGGCAGGTAAATAATCAACTAACAGTGCATATTATGTTAGCGCGATCCGCCTTATTACAAAACCTGCTATTACTGTGCATTTAGTGACCATGATGAGACAGAGTCTGGCTGGCTCAGATGCTGGCAATTCTCGCTGCAGTCTACCGGTAGCGTCTCCTTTCAGGCCAGGATAGACGAATGTCACCAAGCAGTGACTAAGTTTGTGGTAAAAGGCTTGCACCCATTTGCCACAGCAGATGCCCCGATTTTCGGTAAGTGAATGTATTTAATTGTAGGCAGGGACATTACTGGATATTCTTGTGTAATTGCTACAGAATAATTTATGTTATACTTTGTTATTGCTACAGAAGAATATTTATTTTATTATTTTACAGTTTTTTTTTCCCGGGGACCCTGTGACACCCCATTGAAGAGCCATAGGCTGGATCTCTTAAGATCTCACTGTTGGGTTTGTAAGGCCATGCTACTCCTAAATTTCTATCTAGTTCAAAGGGAAGATATAAAACAAAGTTCTAAGCTAATTGACTTTAGTGTTCTCCTTTTTAAAAAAAGAATCAATAAGAGAATTGATAAAGAATCGAATCGTTAAACAGAATCGAAAATGGAATCGGAATCGTGAAAATCTTATCAATACCCATCCCTAATCAAAAGTGGTCCAAGGAAGGAACAGTGGTGAACCAACGTCATGGGTGGCCAAGGCTCATTGATGCACATGGGGAATGAAGGCTGGTCTGTGTGGTCGGATTCAAGAGACAAGCGGTTGTAGCTCAAACTGCTGAAAAATGTAATGCAGATTCCGATAGAAAGGTTTCAGAATACACAGTTGGAGCATCATGGCCGCAGAACACTCAGGATGCCATGCTGACCCCTATTCACAGTGGAATGTGGCAACAATTGGAATGTGAATATCAGAATTGGACCTTTGAGCGATGGATGAAGGTAGCTTGGTCTGCCAAATCTTTGAATTTTTTTCACATCAAGTGGATGGCATGTATGTCACTTACCTGAAGAACACCTGGAACCAAGATGCACTATGGGAAGAAGACAAGCTTGCAAAGGCAGTGTGATGCTTTGTTCAATGTTCTATTGGGTTCTGCCATTCATGTGGATGTTACTTTGACAAATACTGTCTCCCTAAGTATCCGGTCTTTAAGTGATGACGTATCAACCCTGCTTCTGGATCCAAACTACTCTGCGTTTATTAAGGCTGTTGTGTTTTTAACATGTTTTAATGTTTTGTATCTTGTTCTATTTAATCTGAACAAGCCCCTAAAAAAAGGCAGTGATCACTGTCAGCCTCTGTTTTTATTACCACTATACATTTTAAAGCTCAGTTTTTAAAACCTTATGATGTAACTACAGCCCAGCCCATGCAACAGTAAATTAATGACTAACCTCGTATTGTGGATGGGTTATCTCAGTTCTCCTGACTGAAGTTTGGTCCATTTACAGCATCTTGCCATGCGATTGCATGGTAGGAACACAATTTGCAAAATAAAGGATATTTTTAGCTGATGCTGTAATAAAGGAAATGCTAAATGTGGCTCATTTTAAAGTCAAACATTGATTTTAATAAAAAAATGAACTGTACTTTATCAATGACCTCTTTGCTGTTTGGTACGGAGCCCCTCTGATGACATGGTCCAAAATATAAATAAATTGTGGCCACAAAATACTACTTCGTGCCCTTGAAATAGTATAACGTGCCCACGAAATACTTATTTGTGGCCACAAAATACTATTTCGAGGGCACGAAATAGGTATAACACACGCACGAAATGCTAATTTGTGGGCACGAATTGAGTATAACGTGGCAACGAATTATGCGTTTGTGGCAACAAAATAGATAACGTGCGCACATCATATTGATACAATTCCTGGACAGCTGTGTAGAGACATAAGCATAAGAGTAGGCTAAGCCTATACACCATGGACAGAGACAGTATGATTGAGTTTTATTTTAGGCTGGGAATGAGCTACAAATGCATTTTGAAAATCCTGGCATTGCAAGGAACCATTATTACGGAGAGACATTTAAACAGGATATTAAGATAAGATAACCTTTATTAGTCCCACACGTGGGAAATTTGTTTTGTCACAGCAGGAAGTGGACAGTGCAAAAGTTATATAGCAATTATTATTATTGAGAGCCCAGTTGCTTTACAGACGTAAGTACGACCTGGACGCCGGGATAGATTTTATTGCCAACCAACTGCAAGGGCCTGGGAAGGATCACGGTTATCGGTCAAGTGTTTTGTGCCCACAAATTAGCATTTCGTGCGCACGTTATACCCATTTTGTGCCCACGAAATAGTATTTTGTGGCCACAATTTATTTATTTTTTGGACCATGTCATCAGAGGGGCTCCGTAGTTTGGTGATCTATTATGTTTCTTTTTTGCTGAAGGGTTGTCGGATGTTCAATACTGATTATAAATTTTACCCCTGTGGCTGATACTTTTATTGTCCTCTTAATTTAATTGTTCTGGTACACTGTTATAATGTTAAACTTTTGAAAATATTTTGTGGCTCATCTACACCTTTTGGACTACAATGTCAGTCTCAAATCTCTGAGATCAGTTTTGAGCTGCAAAACTTGCGCTTTGTGTGGAAGCACAGTTAGCATGAACAAATAAATGGGGTTTAGTGATTTATCATTGTAATAGATTAGTCTCCTCTTGCTAACCACCTTGGCCAACATGTTGAGAAGATAACATGAGTTATTAATAACTCCTTTAGTACATTGACAAGCAAAGCTCTAATGATGATGGAGATGGAGAAGCAACAGCAGCTCTCACCATGTCTGGGCCAGTAAATTGGGCTAGCTAACCAAGTACAGACTTAGCTGGTTTAGCATCTATGTGAAATGAATTTGTTGGCTGAATATTTCACTTGACCTTATTTTTAATTAATATTTTTAATCCCCTGTGTAGATATTGAGAGTTAACCATGTCCCCCAGTGTTTTAAATGTGCAACTTATAGTGGGGGGGTTTTTCTGAAGGATCAGTTGTTTTAAATGACTCCACTTAATAACAGTGATCCAAAAGAAAAGAACCAGAAAAGGCCAGATTAAAAACAGATCATGTAAATGTAACTTTAATTTCACAGACATGCAATAGTAAATAGGTGGTGTAACCCTATTATTAAGATGCAAATGCATGAGAAAGGAGCAAGACACATACAAGCAAGAAGGGGCAGAGATGAAACCAGGGAGGCAGGAAAAAGAAAGAATGAGTCTTAGAAAGACGCATAATCAAAAATCTCAACGGAAGTGAAAGAGCAAGATGGTGAGAAGAAGTAAGAGAAAAGTAAAAGAATTACTCAGATAATTTACATTAGCTAGACGTAAATCAAATTATACAGCTGGCATTGTAAGAATCATACGCTGACGATGCAGTTCTGAGTATTATCAGAATAATGTACTTATATTACTTTATTTAGGATGTCAATTTAGAATTGTAGTTACAGTTACATTTATCCAAAAGTATTTGGATAAATATCCATCAGTGCATGGATGGGGATGCAGTAGGCCAACATCTATACCAGTAACATTTGGGCAGTAACCAGTGGCATCTGTAGTATTTTAAAGAGTTGCATTTTTACATGACCTACCTTATACACGAGATACATGTTTTTATATTTGACTTTTGCTATTACTTTTCCATTGCTCACTTTTAGTTGTAAATCAGCCAGTTAATTGTAGAAGATTCTTACTTTAAACATCAATATCAATATAAACCACGATCTCTGAACATTTAGCCAGTGGAAAATGGTTGTAACACAACTAAAAATAGTACACTGATATCAATAAACACATTATCCCTGCTTTCTGTCCTATATGTGAATGTATTCCTCTTATAAACATGTAAGCAGCAATTTGGTGCTGTGGCTGTTCCAGCCAATTTAGAGCTGAAAGAAAGGAATGGAAAATGTGAATCTTTCACTTAGATTAAGTTACTTTGTTGTAGTACACATGGTGATTACTTGAGTAGCAAAGCCACAATGTAAAAATACTCAACACTCACAGACTACTTACACAGAAACTACTGACTAGAAAAGTGTAAATAGATAAGTATATTGAAAGTAACAGCCCTTATATTATATGATATTCATTCATTATCAAGTAGATTTCTCCTGTAATAGATATTCGAGTTGGGGCTGTTGGGACAATAAAGGATTTTGTATGTAAAAAATGCCAAAGTTCTACAGTAACATGCAGTAAAATGCAAAGTTTCTTTAAAATACTTTAGTAAAATTACACAAGAAAGCTACTTTTTGCCTTTGCTGCATATTGTTCAACAATATATAACAAAGCAAAACATTGTGTAGGAGTATCACTAGTTTTGTATGCAAAATGATGCAATTTACGGTCCTTTATAAGGAAAACGATGATAAGCAGGCTAAGATCATACTTTTAAGAGCCGAGAAAGAGTAAACCAAGAAGAAAGAATTAGGACAGATAGAGGTATTCTGGAGAAGCACGGATGAGAGAGAAAGAGAAACTTACACTCACACACGCAGAGAGAGAGAGAGGGCGAGAGGGAGTGAATAAATGGTGCGCAGGGCAAAAGAGGAGCGAGCGAGCGAGAGAGAGAACAGTGGACGTGGCACCTGCTCTGGTCTACACGTCAGTCCACATATGATCAACACACGCAGGCATTTAAATACGCAGACCGGCTTTAACCATACCGCTTGTTCCATTAAACACTACAGTGTCCGCTTTACACGCGTGATCCGTGCAGGAACCGAAGCTTTGCTTGATTACCGTGTAGCGCCATCCTGTTGCGCTCCACGCTGGACTCTGTGTGGATAAGTGTGTAACAGCTGTGGGTCAGCCGCTCCACGGTAATGGAATTTACTTCACAACGTAAGAAGTTGTCGCGCTGTCAGCACCATCAGCAATAATATTTGTACATATAACATACACATAGAAAGAAAAAGTGTGACTTTAGCTTCGTGACAAACAGTTACCAGGCCTGCGTGTCCACAGTCAGCTCCAGTCCGAGTCCACTAGCATTAACTTAAAAATAAAAGCTGTTTTTGCTTTATGGACAATCTGCACCCAAGCCCCCCCTCCCAGCCTCCCTCCCGCCTGTCTACCACCCCCCTTCTTGCCGAACACCTTAACTGCTATAGTGCAACAAATGTCCCGCACACTGCTAACCAAAATATATAAACCGCCGAGCACATTAATATCCCATCCACCTGGAAATGAAAGCACACTGGTTCCCGTTCTAGTTGGTGAAACGGCGGAGAGGCTCACCGGAGACGTGGAATCCATTGCTGCTGCTGCTGCCGTCGCTCCGCTCGCTCGGTGTGTTGACGTGGACAGCTCTGAGCTGTCACGCCGAGATCAGCGCTTTTATTTTTTTTCTTTCTCTTCTTTACGGAGCCGCCCGGGCGCGCTCACGCGCTCGCAGCAGCCAACCGGATAGAACCACAGGAGCGAGAGCCACCGGCGAAGCGCGATCCCGACGCTTCGCCCTCCTCCCACTTCTTGTCTGTCTGAGCCTTTCACGATAAAAGTCGAGATGCTCTTAAGGAGTCTACTCTGGATAAGAGCAATTCATGTGCCACATGTAGCAGGCGGCAGTCAAACACACCACCCCGCACATGCTAGTTCGATCCACATCTACAGTAAAATCATTCCTTGATCCAGTTATTTACTGCAATACTTTTCCTAATCCTAGTGTGGTGATGTCACGAATATTCCACGGGGGGGGATTGGTGGAAAGTATTTTTAGATCTTAACAAGTTAGATGTGGAAACTGTTCTTTGTGCATTTCTGCTATGATGTAGAAATATAATGACAGCTGACTGGTGAATTTGGAAAAGCAAACATTGTATTTTTACAGTGTAAGAAAATCACAGTCAAGGCTTTACATGTTCCGCTCTCCCTGTAAAATGAGAAAGATCACAAATAAAAACACTGTAAACCTTTTATAGAGGTAATTGGTTATTCTTTTGTGTTCTATTAGAAAAACGTATTCATTACTAAAATCAAATTCTTTGTTTGAATGATTCAGCTGAAATGTGAAGTGCACTGATCATGTTAAGTGGTAGGTGATTATATTAAATACTGTCAAATCTATACGGTAGTCAAACCTCTCTCATATAGTGCTATGTGCCCAGATCTTACCTGCAGAGACATCTCAACCTTAGGATCCTGCAGTGCATATAGCCATAGTCACTTCATTTGCATCCCACCAGCCTATACTGTTCACAAGCTCATGCCTTTGTTGTCACCACTGTGTTGCTGTCTCTTGTTTGATCCCCCATACTTTTGCAGATTTGGTCAAATAACCCCATGTAGGTTCAACATTTCTTTTTTTGTCAATGACATAAAAATGCAACAAGTGTTTGTTATTGTGGATTATGTAAGGACTGATTTTTACAGAAATCTGGTACTTTGTAACCTGCTGTATTTCTCCATAAAAGTAGCTATTATGTCTAGTAGCTGTGCTAATGTTGCTATCAATACCTCTATTGCAGAGATTCGAGGATTCAACCTCTAAATGCTCAAAATATGCATGATTTTCATTCCTGACACTTATCTGCACATTAGAATAAAAATAAATACAGAGCGTGAAGAATGAATATCCACACAGATTGTCAGTTGACCTGATATTGGCTGCTTCTGTGCTTGCCCCAAATATCTATTTTATGTTCTGTAGAAGACAAATGTCCTGTACATGACATTTTATGCAACTTTAACTTCCCAAATCTATCCCAGCTGACGTTGTTCACTCTGGACTGGCTTCCAGTCTGCTGCAGGAAAGTTTTGTTGTTTTATTTATTTATTTGTTTAAGATTCAATTAATCTGTGCATTATTCTTCATAACCAAGCAAAATAAAAAATTACTAACTAAAAGAAATAATGGTATGGAGCACAAAGTATAGCATTTGAATCAAGAATATAGTGATGCAGAAGTAGAGTAAGATACAGAAAAATATATAGAAAAAGCACACTGAAACTGTACTTCAATAAAGTACTTTTTGGAAAAGTTACTACCACTAGTCCTATCCATGTTCTCATTCAACTGCATTGGGTAGTGGGGGTGGCAATGTCACTGTGGACAAGGTCTGGGTGCTGTCCAGTAAAGGAAATTTTCACTGGTAGAGAACATGGTGGGGAATGTGACTGTATCTAACTGAAGATGGTGAAGCAGCAACCCTGAGGTGATGAAGGCAGACCCATCATTTGAAGTAGTGGTCACACATTCTGTAGCCCTCCACTGCAACCCTAAGGAGATCCTGAGACAGCTGGAAGGAGCTAAGCAGGATGGACGGAGGACCATAAGAGGGTCGCAGAATACTCACAGCAGGATGTAATCTTAGACCTAAATCGGTCACTGGTGACCTGGTAGATGTGAAGAGGTTAAGCAAGCTGTACAATTAACGGCACCGCACAACACACTAAAATAAATAAATAGATATATAAAAAAGTCCAAATTTGACACAAAAACAATCACATTTGATGAACATACAAAACAAAGGAAGAACAACCCAAAGAGCCATTTCAACAGTTATGTCTTAGTTTTTGCACATTGATACATGAATGTTTTAAATAAAAGGCGATTACTGGCACAGCACTTTTTTTTCCTGTGCCACGCGTGGACTCTGTGTAATATAATCGATTTTACTGAATACAGTCGAAACTAGGTGCTAATTGATAAAAATGGCAAACGTGGCAGTTTAACTAATGTAAAACATTTTAACATCCTAAAATATGCTCCACTTATTGACTGAGTACAAAACACAACGAGCTACAAGTGAGTGGTAATAAGAGGTATTAGTAAGGATACTTCAGTGTTCCCAAACTACTGCGTGGACGAGCGCGCATTCTCGCTATTAGGGATTGCGCGCTCGAGCCAGTTCGGCTCTGGAGCGTTCTTCCCCATTTCTTCGTCCCCCGTTGCACTCTGGGAAAGCTCGTGTATGTATCGCTTAGAAAAGATGGCAGGCGTACAGCCGCCACCCCTCCGGAGTCTGGATGATTTCCTCCTGTGTTCGGCCCGGTTCGCCACGCCAGATGTGCGTAACTTGGACCGCTGGAATAACCGCATCATTAACAACCTGCTTTACTACCAGAGCAATTATTTCCTGTGCGTGCTTGGCTTCCTGCTCATAGTGGGGTAGGTTTCGTTGTTCTGACGTGGTCAGCACCCCCCTCTCACACTGACCATTCTCTCTCTCATTCTAGTAAGCAGCAAAGTTTATGAATTTGCAGGGTTGTGCTGAACTCCTTTTAGTGACTTGCATTTCAGCAACAGCCAAAACGAACAGGCTCCATGATCATGACATCGTCTCTTGGCTATACAGTTTCACACACGAGAGCGAGACACAGATTTGGAGTAATGAACATCTTAGTCAGATTATGCCAACCTCCATTTCTCGTGGGAATGGAAGAAGGCAGCTGATCTCAATGATCTGTTACAGCACGTTAAAGTAAATGCCACACAGTCCGAGAACTAACATATTTCCTTCCAGTTCTATCCTTAAACCCAAAATTTGAGGTTGTGCACCAAGAGTGTGTGTTGTTTTGGTTTTTTTGTTTGTTTTTATAGAGTAGCAAATTGGGAACAAACAAGTTTTAGAGACCGGACAGTGAGCTCATAGGAAGGATGAAAAGCGTATTAGAAATAAACATCAAACCAAACAACCTCCACATTGGTTCAAGTTTAATTACTTTAATTGTGGACAGACCTCCTGCCTCCATAAACGTGCACTAGGAGAATCTTCTGGACCACACTGAACCAAAAGATTCAAATGCAAGTTGTAACTTTAAGGAGTGGAGCAGATGACTTGGAGGCATATCATCCAGTTTCAATTTGACTAATCAAGATTATCTTCTTATGTGACAAGTACATAAGGTGATGAAAGAAGTTTGTAGTAGTTTCTCTTCTGGCACAATATGGCTTGCTGGTATGCACCACAATTTAGATTATTTACACTGAATGTAAGAAAAGCACTGTTTGTGTTTTTGTTTTTTTCCTCAAGAAACTCAAATTACTTTCTTTAGGACATTGAATGCACACACTGTTCATCTGCTGTAGACAGTTTTTCAGACCCACGTTTTTGTTGAACTTTGAATTTAGTTTCCAACAGGACTGCTAACATATTCAATGAATTCATGTAGAGTTACTTTATATAGTACACTTAGTAATATCCAAAGTCTGTATATGACAATAACATAGAGAGTGAATCAGGACAACGTTCATTACAGTTAGTCCAAATAACAAAGGCAGACGACAGATCAGGGGTCTGTACCAGAAAGCAGGATCACTGACCAGTCTCTTGGTCTGAGTGAACGGGGTTTAAGCAGCTGATTTCTCAGTGACTGGCAGAACCAACAGAGAATCTCTCAGTAATACTTGTTTTTTCCTTATTAAGCATTAAGCTCCTAGGACCTGGCGTCCACATATGTGGACATCACATTTTGGGTTGTCTGGACCAAAATACTAAATTTTGCTCTACAAGGACCTGATATCCACTTACGAGGATATTATACTGCCACTGTTCTATCGAAATTTAAAACTAATTTCTTCATATGTGGATGTCATTTTTTTCAGAACCAAAAATCAGGTAAAAAAAAAATCACGTAATTCTTTATTTTTACAGTCATCAGGTCCCAATCAGCCCAAATAGCAAAGAGAAATTGAAAATGCATGACATGAAAGAGTTCGGGTCTTTGGAGGTCAAGATGCTAGTCTCATTATGTATATCCATTACTTACAGTTATTCCTGTCTCCTCTCAGGTATTTCGAGCCCTTCCAGCTTTTCACTGGCATGACGGTGGTCACCTTGTTGTTCGCTGGCTTTGTCTGGGCTGCAGAGAACCAAGCTCCTATTCGCCGTTTCCGTAGAAACCACCCAACAGTCTCTATGTTGGCCATTCTTGTGGCTAGCTACCTCTTCATATCAGTGCTGGGAGGAGTGGCCGTATTTCTGTTTGGGATAGCCTTCCCTATATTCAGTAAGACAGAAAAATACACACTAAATCGTATGCTGCAAATTTGACCAGATTATGAAAACAAAGTTTGGCTGTTTTGGGAACCTGTGAAGCAGGCATTCTATTCACAAGTGCATGGGCTTGGTTTTGATAAATCAACATCTCTAAAGACTTTCCAAACCACTGCCATGTGATACATTGGTTTGCTTTATTAGCACTGGAGTCAACACTTGTGAGTTAGTCTGACCGATCAGTAAATTTGTCTTCATTGTTGTTTATCAAGTTGCTTTTTAAAAGACATTTCTGGAGTAGCCAGGCATTAAAGTCCTGATGCATGATGACCAGCTCTACCTACTGAGCCACAGCTAGGTGGTAGAGCAGATAGCATCATAGCCTGCATAACAGCCCCATCTTTACTTCTGTATATGGTGTTTGTCGATCAGTCTTGGTGTTGCAATGTAAAAAACGTTGATGTTTTGACTCTATGTCTCTTGCTCATATTTAAATTGAGAGAAGTTATACATATACTGAGTTTTTGTACCTGTGCTTTGATACAAAATAGGATAAATGAGGAGTTGCAGGTGAGCATTCTGGATAAAAAAAGAGAGATGAGACATTAAAAGGACACGTTGTAAATTAATGGTTATTCATTATTGGGTTGTACAATTCTCTCATTGCATTAAAGGGAAGTAGTATGAAGTGTAAAGGCTTCTTGCAGATGACAGCCTCACGTTTCTGTTGGATTCTCCTGAACCACTTATTGCTTTGTCCTTGCGGTTTCATAGCAATTATAACTCAGGCCATAGGTTTGTTTGTTAGGAAGTTAGTTTAAGTTCTAAAATCAAACTTATGAAATTATGCTGTGGGTAGAGCCATCATATTTTTGGGTTGTCGCTCTAGAAAAAGACTTAAAATTCTAGCCAGAACCACAAAGTTATCAACTTTTTTTGCACAAATTTGCAAAAAAGCAGCTTGTTTGGGGAAAACACAGATAAGGTTCAAACATAAATCGAAGCATGAAAAATTATAAATATTATTATAAAATAAAGGCCTTTATTATTAGGTAATGTGTTACAGATAAGAAAATAGCTGCCTGGTCATCCAAAGATAACATGATTGTTTTTTGGTGTCAATATGGACAGCTGCTGAATTTGAGCAGAAGCTAGAAGAAGGAAAGCAAATAGTTTGCAGAACTTGTTGAGGACTTATTGTGTGTCTGAATGCAGTGTGTGTGGGTCTTATTCAAACAAGAAGCAGAAAAGTTCTGTTGGACAGAAAGTCTTGTCTCTCTTCTTTCCAGTGGTTCTCATCCATGCATCGGTGAGGCTCCGCAGTCTGAAGAACAAGCTGGAAAACAAACTCGAAAGCATTGGTTTGAAGAGGACTCCAATGGGAATTCTTTTAGAGGCCTTGGGACAGGAGCAGGAGGCAGGATCCTAAACAGAATGAAGAAGATGATGGTGGACAATTGGGGGGAGAGATGAAGGTGAAGATGTAGGTGGGCGATAGCAGGGAAAGAAAACAGAGCATCACAACATTACCATAGCGAGAGAGGGGGAGTCAGCCAAAAAATGTCAAGTTGTGATTTGGTTTGTTAACTGATCAAAATCAGAAGTAACAGCATGACTGACAGGTGACAGTCTCAGAAGTCAACAGATATGAAGTCATTTCTGGTCTGTCTTTGCACTTTAAGCACATTGTTTTGCAAAGTCTGTCAATTCACTACATGTGAAGTGATGTAACCATGTATTTAGCTTTCTGTGGATGATATTTCCATAGAGCTTGATAAACTCTAAATATTTCTGGAAATTACTTAAAAAGAAAAACACATACACTCTCAAAGTGGCTTATTTATATCCGTCCAGTGTGTAATATCTAGAAAATTTATTTTTACATCAAAATATGTATTTTGAAAAGAAAAAAAAGAAAGAAACAAAACCATGATTTGTGGGTTTTATTCTGTTGTGAGATCTGATGCCACAATTTAATTTTGTCCTCTGCACTCTTCAAATCAACCGTCTGAACCAGAACAAAAACTGTGCTGCATCCTGTCTCACACTGAATACCAAGTAATCCTTTTTATTTCCATATCCTAAAGTATGACAAAGCTTATTCCTAAAAGCTGTCATATGAGATTATTAGCAGAATTCATGTTAAACCAGCCCAGCCTGTTTACTTTGAATAATGAATCTAACCGCCCAAGTATCAATCCAACCATGTTTTCCTCATACAATTACAAATCAATTGTATAATGTTAACTTCAAAAATGTCTTCAAATATATTTTTCCCTGATTTTTAGTACTCTACTGTTTTCAGTTATTTCTTTTCCCCGTTGACATAATAGTATTATTAGTACTAAAAACTAAAACATCTAGGTTGCACAGGCAAAAACCTCAACTTAAGGCTTCGCAGTGGAACTTGTGTATTCAATCAGCGACTTTAGAGTGGCTACTTCCATATTTTATGTCAATTCTTTGGTAGAGCTGAAGTGTAACGTCCAAATAAATCTGACTGTCCTGCCAATACGGGACATTAGAAGTCAAAATTACAAACTATCTATCAATCCATTTGTAACAAGGCAATAAATGTAGTGTAACCTATAAACATTATAGCATTTAAGCTAATATGGTTTTGTGGAAGCAGCAACAGAAATTGACTTTATAAGATGGATATTTTGTATTAATACAACAAGCAGAGCCAAAATCTTGAAACACCCTTGGTATTGTAGTAACCCAACCTGTATTAACCAAATTTTTTATAAGTCAGTTTCCTGTTTTTGGTGCTAAAAATGGGGTTGTGCTACAAGAAAATCTTGGTGTGATATGAAGAATGAGGTCAGGATAAATCTGATTGATTGTAGAAATCTTTGAGGACCAGTAAGTGCAGAATAGGTGTATGAAAGAAACAAATTAATATTTAAAAATAATTATTATATCTATTTTCTCAAGAAGAACAAGCTTTACTCACATAGCTCCCCATTACATTCCACATCTTCTTATCACTGGGATTGCCCAGTCTCTCAGTGCTGACAGCTGATTAAACCATTTCAGGAGGAGATCAGTAAAGTAAAATTTTCTTTGAATTTCTTAATAAAGTTTTGTTACCATAAATAAAATGCATTGCCTGCTTTAAGAGCATTTGTGGTAACAGTACACTTTTCTCCTAGCCACACTGATGTGTCTCAGCACAGACTGTCTGAAAATCTTCTTCACTATTTTTCTGGACTGTAGAGAAAATGTTGATAGACTTTAGTGATCTCGCTTGTGACTGAATATATTATTTTAATCCTATTTGTGACTTTTCTTCTGTTCATTTCAATGCAAGTTTGCAAATAATGCTTCAAAAAGGTTCCTCCAGTACTGTTCTCTTTAAACCAGTCATTATGAAGTAAACAATATAAGATTTTGTTTATGTGTGCACTTTTTAATGTTTAAAGAACTTGTTACCCTGTTGTATATGTGCCATTACAGATTTGAAAATCTCTGTTAGTACAGGTAAACACAGCAATCATGATTCTTATAGATCCTGAACAAGTCATGCTTCTGCTAATCTTTTTTTTAACCATCAGCCAAACCTCTTAATGGTTGGTCTGACCCTGCTTCACAACATAACTTTGGACACTTAAATCCGAGCTGCAAGAATGTAAATTGAAAGAAGTTTGTTGAATGACGATAAAAATGTAACAAATCCTGAAGTGTTGCCTTCAAATCAGCTTAATGTTTGAATTGTGTTTCTTGAACAATGTCCTGGAATGTTTATAGCATTTTTTTATAAATAAAAAAGAATGTCAAACTGCAGTTTGTGCTGATTTTCTAGTAAGCAATGCCAAAAATGGAATAAATTCAACTAAATTAATGTGCAAAAAAACATGATATAGAGATTTTCAAAGAACCTTTGGTTTGTCAGAATGATGTACCAAGTAAATATCTTACAGTAAAAGTATGACAGCGAACGCCAGACAGAGGTCACAGTCAACTAGTTGGCAGGTTAGAATACAGAAGAAATTATATCAATCTATCTTACTTCACCAAATGTTATAAAAAGAGGCAGATTTTAACCTAGGTCTGTCCTTACATTGTATCTGTGGCTTTAATGTGCTCGGCTGTGGTTATAGAGCTGACATGACACCCAGGGAAATCACTGTAGCAGTTGTGTGTTTTTGGCCTCTGAGCAGCATCTGAAGGTAGGGAGCATCTACTATGAGGCACTTTGACATTGTATAGGTCAGGGGAAACTCCTTGTTTGCTGCAAGATGATGGAAAACAATGTGATTCACCTTAGAACAGACAATATATCTATGTGACAGAGATTTATGATCTATATATTTTCTTACTTATGTAATTCTTATTTCTTTGTGCATTTCTGGTGACCCTTCTCGAGAGAGTGAGCACAACCTGAATGCTCAGTTTCAGGTCTGTTTCTTTGCGCTTGTTAACTTTACAGTGTTAATTCTAGACAAACACAGTGGACATTTTTCGATGTTAGGGATGTAGCCATATGATATGCTCTGCTGGTGATATTCAAAATATCATATTTAGAAATATGTTAGTAAAATTACTTATTAGTCCCTGTATTCTTATTTTGATTGCTGGGAGAAAGACACAAATCACGAGACCAGCAGCCTGTTCTTATATTTCACATTCACTAATAAATTATAGTAAACTGTTTGCGACAGACCGAAGTAACACGTCTTCAAAATCTGCCGTCAGCTTTGCGTGAACGGAGAGGAAACTTCACGGCCTGTATTATTGTTGTCGCAGGCATTACTTGGTGAGCAATATTTTGTTTATTTCTTTTAAAAGAAGTCCCCAGCTTAAGTAGGGAAATGCTAACACACACGCCAGTGGGTTTTTTTTTTTCCTAGGGAGGGCTTATTACACGTCACCACGAGGGTGCTACTTTAAAAAGGTCCCACCCTCCAGGGCAGTTCTAGTGAACAGAAACATAAGCTGCGGTAGTGTAGGAGAGATCAACAAACACCCTGAGCACACACTAAACCTGACTGGTAAGACAGCATCTTTTATGCCCACACTTATTATCGATATATTAATTACTTTGATGTGCTTTTGTATATTATTTTGTGTCTGTATACTTCTGTGTGAGGGTGTGTTTGGGAGTCGCCAGTGGAGTCACAGCAGTATCCCGGTAATGCTGTATAATGTACGCTACTAACGTGCTTACACTGTTAGGCTCTCGTTGTGTTATGTTTCTTTTTGTAGGGTACAAATAAAATGCATGTGTATGTATAAACGGCTTCTCCGCGATAACACAGTTATCAGGATGTTCTGGATGATCGGGGATAAAAACACTGTGCAACCTGCTGCTCAGGCTCTCCGACTAGATTCCCGTCATATTTATAACCAAGCCTAATTTCAAGAGGCAATGTTACATAATACATGTAAAATGCAATCGTATTTTACAAAGTAAGATTTAACATTTGACATATACAAGAGCCAGCCGGACCAGTAAAGACACACATTAATCCAGTAGCAGAGAAACATTTTTCTGAATTACGATTACTTGATACTTGGTAATAGCCTAATACGCTTTAATTGATTCTTATGGTTATGATCATAAGATGAGAAGACTGATCAGATAACAACAACATTCCTCAATTCTAGCTTTTCATTCTTTTTCCGCTAATTGCTTTTTACATTACACAGAATTGTTTGATAAACTGAGAAGGGGCTAAAATGTTATGATTTAATATTGTTTTACCTGTTCATTTAAAATCCACTCACTTATGACCACAAATCAAAGTTAGCTACTGCTCTTCTGTGTGTAAGAGAGAGTACTGAATTCCTTTGCGTTCACACTTTTTTCACAGTTGTGGGCGCTAACAACTTTTCCGTAGGAAACCCTGAGTTTATTAATCATACTTCCCACAATGAGAAGTTTGCAGGGCTGTATTAGTTTGCCAGGTACCAAGTACAATGCCAGATGACTGTCTCAGTCAGGAGTTCTACACCACCTTCTCTAAACAGATCACCACAGAAGTAAAAGTAAACTCAATTCTTGGATGGAGTACATGGAGAGGGGTTTTCCAGGCAAACATTGGTAGTTACATCATGTGGCTGCAGTGAGTAAAATAGGCGTTGTGTGCCAGGCAGGTGGTTACCAAAGACTTTCTAGAAGTAGGTCAAAGTTACTGAGAGCAGTGATACAGGCCAGCCCTGCCCTGTGCCTGCCTTATCTCCTCATACTAACTGTCAGAGCTCAACTGCTCTAAAGCAGGCTACACTGACAGTGGAAGATTACATTTGATAGCTGGAGTTAATATCAACATCATAATGGTGGGGGGTGTAGTACTAGCATCAATTATAGGCTAATCGAAGGGTAATTCTAGTGGTTAGAGCATAGCAGTAAGAAAGTTCTAACTTTGTTACAGCTGTTAAAATGAATCAGACTTTGTGAAGTTGTAAATGGGACAGAAACTGTCTGGGCATCACAGTTTTGCAGGGCTTTGCACTCAAATTACAACACATTTTCATATGGAAGGGACTAAAATATATTTAATATATTTATTTGCAATGATTAAATAAGAAACAACATCTAAAATTTGCCAGATTGCCTTTTTCGGATTAGGCCCTGATCAACGGAGAATTGGTGTATTTTCCTATCTTCTTTACTTTCCCATTGAGCCACAATATAGAATAGAACCTAAAAGAGCTTCTTTTTGCTTCTTGCAGGAGAACCACGCAAAAAAAGAGACACCACAGTGGTGGTGACCAACATCAAGCTTTATAGTCTGCTTTTCTAAAACTACTGTCATCTGCCAAAACAATGCTGCACCTCAAGAAATACTTTACAGAAGGCCTTATCCAGATGGCCATCCTGCTGAGTCTATGTGGCGTGAGGGTGGACGTGGAACTGGAGCCCTACCTGCCTTCCTCTTTGCATGACATGATCCTGGGTCCAACCTCAGCCCTCACCCAAACACAGTTCCACAACCTCCGCAATCACCTGGAGGAAGGCTTGCACCCCAAAAATGTAGAACTAGATGGGTTCTCCACAGCACAAAGGCTGCTGGGCTGGGTGCGCTCTTTGGACAGACTACACGTAAAAAAATGTTTTTCTTTTTAATCGTTATCTCTTTAGTCATCAATACTTTGCATTCCAATTATAAGTTCATGCAATTTTAAGGATTAAAGGAGCAGTTTAAAAGTATGCTTAGATATGATTATAGATAGAACTGTCATGTGAGTTTGTTCAGTAACAAGTTACAGCGGGCAGCAGATTTCGCTGACTTAGCACAAAAACCTGAAACATTTACCTCTTAAAATCCACCAGGTCACCACAGGAGTAGGCTTAAGTGTATTTTTACCCACACGTTAAACAAACATAGTTTCAGAAACTACAAGATCAGATCAAATCAGAGTGTTTTACACATATCTGATCTTCTATTGTAAGATTTCTGTTTGGGCATGCTATATAAAGAATTCTACATAAAGTAGTAGCGGTGCACCTAACTCTAATCCTATACAGCTTATTGTAGGACAGCAAAATGAATGCTTTTGGTAAGACTCCTGTGATCTTGTGAGAAAAGTTCATATAATTGTGAACCTTTCTCCACAGGTTCCACATGCAGAACTAGAGACATGGCTGGTCCAGCGGGAGCCAGAACCTCTCCCCATAAGATCTCCAGACCAGGCATCCTTGCTGGAAAGAACTCCTGCTGAAATAGAGAGAGAGTTGACTGCTCTGCCTGCGGAGCCACAAGCTGAACTTGAGGATGAAGAGGAGAAAGAGGATACAGAGGTACAGCAGTTTTATATGGAGTGATTTGCAACATTTAAATATAGGTTTTTCTTCTGTTTATTTTCATCTTCATGTGCCATGCTCCTCTAAAACCATTTTGACTTATGTCTGAACTAGGTTAAGTGCAAGTGTGTGCAAAGGTTTATTACATGTTCTCTGATAAAATCATCAATAAACAGTCCCATAAGAGAACACACAGCCTTTATACAGGGATGTCTATGCTGTAATAGTTAACACTAGGCCAAAGAGAATTAAGTTACAAGGGTTGACCTTTATCCTTGAGATAACAATGTGTTATCTAGAGGATAAAATCCTGTTCACATGCAGCTTTTACAGCTGTTTGTGAAATTGTTTCTTGACAATTGGCTCTGTCTGTTTAAAGCCTTTTCTAATTGGTATATTGGCACTCATAGGGCTGGGAGTAGGGAGAAATAGATGTGAACTGAGTGGAGATGATGCGTCAATAATTTTTTCTTGTGAAGAAAGAGAGCAGACCAAGAGAACATCTGTGTATAACACCTGCCAAGCTGCTGTGTTAAACGGCCCTGAAAGTTCCATTTTTGGTTCATGAAAGTGAAAGGATACCATATGCCCGATAACCACTGTCTTACACCTCAATATGCACTGAGGCGGAGGAAGAACGGAGTGAGCGTGCTTATATGTCCAATCCATTCAATAGTTTGATTTAAAACCACAAATGTCAAACCACAGGGGACCACCAAATCATTAGGTTGCACTGAAAATAAAAATGCTGCTTCTTGTCAAATATCAACAGATTTTTACAAGTCTGTAGGTCCACCCATATTATCACTGAAGTATCAGTGTAGATATGTTGGAATGAATAGAAACCGCTGGCCATTATTTACATATATACTATATGAACGAGTGATGTCGACTAAAGAGCTGTTTTTGTTTGTTGACTGTCACCCAAACTGAGCTTGATGTCATGAGAGAGAATGAGTCAGAGATTGATGAGTCACTAGGAAACCTCACCTCACCGCACATGACCTCACTAGGAAGCTGAAGTAATAAAATCAGT